CCCCCCAAAGATTTTCAGCTTCCGCCGCCCCTGTGAACTATTGACGAATTCTTTTTGATTTTCAATACGAATCTAAAAATAACCAGTCCGAGAAAATGATCACAACTCGAAATAGGGGTACTTTTAGGTAGTACGGTCTGGGTATTAAATGGGCTCCTGACTGAATAAACAATGCACTGTACTGACCCAATCCAATGATCGAAACACAGTAAAATAGACTTCAGTTTGTAATGAGTCTAATAGCATGTTTGTTCAAACAACACCTTCCGAAATCAAAATCATGTTATTTCACTTCCTGTCAATTAACTGGAATAATAGACCGGTCATAGTCAAGGTCAATCATAGAGCCAATAAACTACTTTGGTTAATTGGATTCTTGTTAGTTCGACATGGGCTTTCCTGAATGGTTTCTTTATACTTATTGGTTGTCAGATAAGGGGTCACGGGGTGCATTTAGAATCACTGAATCAACACTCAAATTAGTGTCCTCCTCAGCCGTCATTAGTTTCGGTCCCAGATTCTCACTCGACCTCTCGGACCGTGAAAACCTGGTACTGAAACTACTGACGACTCTGAAGGTGACTACACTCAAATGGGCTCAACGAGAAATTCTGAGAATTTACTTGTCACTGCAGCAAATTCACTGTAGGACAATCGCTAAAATTTTATTGGCTAAAAGATTTTTCAACAGTACAATGGGAAAGGAATGTAGTGCTCCAATGAGCAGACGTTAGTGGGGAGGGATTTTCGGACCGATACTAAGAACGTTTGCTAGGGACACTAGTCGTTTCCCCGCCCTACCCGATACGGCAATTTCCCAGTCGTACTTGAGCCTTATTGTATCTGAGTACCACCGTATAGACCTAACCTGGCGTTATGAATGACTGGAACAGAACGGAAGCAATTTCCGTCCTAAGCAAAACTATAAATATAAAAGAGAAAAAGGAGAGGGCCGAGGATTGATATATGCGGTACCCCACAGTTAATCAACCTCCTCTTAGATTTATCAYATAATTTGTATTAAGCATAACTATCTTATATCGTATAATAAGGGTTTTCGCATGTCGAACTGTCTACGTGCTGTGAGTACAATGTTTCCCACAGAAACGAAAATCCTCTACAAAATTCAGTCGCTGTTCTACGACAAAAACATAATAATAACACAATTTTTTCGACATAAATCCATCAGTAATTATCTTACTGACGTGCAAGGGTATAAATTTAGCATCCACCGACCCATGTGGAATAATTCCAGTGCTTGTTATTTTGTTGACTTGTTTTTATACCCTGAGCAGTAGAATAATCATTTTAGGGGGGAGGGGTTGGGTCCATGTTGTATTTATAGTAGTCGTTCAAAGCTTTTCGAAGTCTTAATATGGACTCGATTCAGAATGTGTCATATGTAAACTTTATTCTTTTATTTTTTATTCTAAGAATATCAGTTCATTAAGAGAATTTCATAATAATTTTGATAAGTTAAACGATACACATAAATACACGATAAAACACTACTGTCCCCCATCCCCATAGACAAGGCTAATTTGTCAACAACACAAAGCTGGATATGCTACAAATGCAAGAGCCAAGCCATGTTTTGAATCACTTCTCATCTTAACGCGTGGCAAGAAGTACTAAAACAAGATTCCAAGAATTTGCTGCTGATATATACGAGGTATTTTATCTCTTTGCTGTAGAACACTTTCAAGAATATCTTGTCTGTGAACATGCTTACGAGAAAATTCGAAATTAGAGATCTTCATTCTGTCCAAAAAATTGTCATTTGGATTTTGTGTGTGTGCGCGTCATATTCTAATTTTTTCAAATACTAATGTTATTTCGATTTAGTTTATCTTTTTGGATTTTTCTTGAACAGATAACAGTTATTTTGGTGTATTTCCAAAAAATTGCCATTCGATTTTCTTTCAGTTACGTTTGTCATATTCTCATCATTTCAAACAAAAGATATTTCCGAACCCATATTATTATGTTTTGATTAGTTTATCTTTCTGGATTTAACTTGAACAGATAACAGTTAACTTGGTATAGCAAAGAAAATGGAGAAAACTGTCTTCCTGACTGTATTAGTACTTTGCACTCTTTTTATCTGTCTTAGTGGAAAAGCTATAAAGCGCCGCGAAGGTATGGAATAGAATACATAAGAACGTTTTTAAATATGCATTAATATGAGTTGAAAAGAGTTTTTGAATGAGGGCGAAATGGTTAGAGGTTTCTCCGAATATTTTGATAATAAAAAGTAACATTATTGCTCAAATCTTTCTTGCACAATACTCGAAGATTTTTGTAATCACTAATTATTTCAAAATCAAACTCAAATAAAACAAACTAAAAGAGTAAAAATTGATGTTGTTATTGTAAGGCATTCAGATCTTGAGGTCACGGTTCCATCTATGGGATCTCCACTATTGTTTCGACTATTTTTGTAACTGTCTATAACAAGAGAAATTAAATAAGAGAGGGAAACTTCTTATGATCGCGCGCGCCATGTGAATTTCAAGATGAGCTATTTTTAGAAATCGGATGCAGTTTAAATCTCGCCTTACCCTACTCCCAGTGCGTCAAGTAGCGCGCGTGCGCTTTTTCGTTTGTTGTTTTGGTCACTAAAAACGAGGAATTTTTTTTTTAGTTCTGATTATTTGTTACTTCTTACGTTTTTTTAGAAATACCTTTGAAACGCCGAAGCATTGGCCAAACCACAACATGTACTTGTTATGGAAAAACAGGGTATTTTGTATATTTTGACGTGCTTGGGATTTATGGAAAAAACTACATGCCCAAATAAGAACCATCCCTATGCCTTTGCTTGTCATCATTCGCTGTTTGGCCTCTGTTGCTTACCGGCAGGACAATGAACCACGCGGAAGTTCTAAAGAGGTGCCTAAATTTAAAAACAAAGTTTGATTTTAAAGACGCAATGCAGTCTAGAAGCACCCGTTATCTATAATGAGTAAATATAAATGGTAATACAGATTTTGGTTACAAGCCTCGCTGCTTGCTTGCTTGACTGCTTGTTTTCATGCTTGCAAACTTGACAAAGAAATTCCCTTATTCTATGCTAGATGAATGTGGATTAAATTATTAAGTATGCAACAATAAAGTCAGTCATAACCAAATGCAACATTTACGTCTTATTTTTCCCCCTTATTTTTCGGATCTCTTGAATCTGAACGAACTTTATTTTGAAAAGGCAGTGGGTAAAAGAAGTGTATTGAATATCGTCTTAACCGGCTTTCCCTTCTTCGATTGACGACCTTGCTCCGTAAGAACACTTCCAAAATCTAGCTAGGTCTGGTTCTTTTTAAAAGTACATACTCTTGATATTTGTAGGGCTTCCTTTTCCCAGAATGTAAAGCAGGCATTCTTCTATTCAAGAGCCGCGCTAGAGTTATCAAATCCATCGAACTAAAGATTGAATCAGAGATCTCGAAATCCCATTATTTTTGTCGGGTCGTTCCAGTTCAAGTGGAAGAGCTGAAGAAATAGAAAGCGCGCGCGCGTGTTGTGTGCAGTTATAAAGCGCTCTGGGTTGGCAGAACACGAGAGAAGTGTTAGGAGAAGCACGACGCGTAGCGGAGTGCTTTTGGATACTTCTTGAGTGATCTGCCAATCCCCAAGTGCTTTATTACTTCACACACACATCACAGCAAGCAAGCTTTTTATTTCTTTTATAAAATACAAATTACAATAACCGTTATTGTAGATAGGAATGACGCGACTGAAAGTGCGCACGCGTGCTATGTGCTCACATGAATCACGCGCTCACAACCAATCAGAACGCGAGATTTTAACAGTTATTTTATAATGAATCTTTCTTCATAGAGTGCGAAGGAAAATAGATATGTGGCAATGTTAGCGTTAATTTGAGATGATGATACTTTGTTGCTTTTTCGGACGTCGCTTGCTCTGTTTTCTCCATTGACGTAAAAAGCTAAAGGTGGTTCAGTTTGTTTGAATTTCTAAGCTGTAAGTTTTTATTGAGAAATGATGTCAATAAGCCTCTTTACCTTAGTCGGGCCTAATGTTTTAAGTACTATTTCAGATCAAGTGTCATTCCCTAGTAGAGTATCAGTAATTTCTTTGCTTAACTGTTGCACATGAGAAGACACATGAATATGCCGTACAACTCAAACAAAGAATCTTATTCTGGATCGAATGACACGTGGTCTGAAATGGGAAAATATTACGCCCAAGGCAAAGAGGTCTATACGATTGGAAYCATTAGCTCAAACCATCTATTGTAACTATATAGGAATCCCTGGCCTCCGGTCTATCCATCAAATGCGTCGTTAGCGAGACGATATTGAAAGGAYGTTGGGTCGGAGTTCATCAATTACTTTTCATAAACACGCACCTAACTCATTCTCCGTATGTCATTCGATAAAGCCGGCTAGTCAGTCAGAGTATCTTTCGCTCGTCCATGGTCTTTACTCTACCAGCCAATAAATTTACTTTGTTATTATTCMTTTAGTAAGTTATGAAAAATTCAATTCTAAACATTCAAAAATTTCGATCTTTGGCCATTGAAACGTTGCTTGTCAGCAGCGAATCCCATACCAATTACATATGTCGTCAACCATGGAAACTCATGTTACGTAGATGAAAATGGCAACGTTGTAAAGCATGCGAACGATTTCCAATCAACTTATGCGAAAGACCCTCTAATGAAACTAGAGGCAGTTTGCTAGACTTGGATACTTTTTGGTCACTAAAACCGTTTTTGGCAAATATCAATGCGGTCATAATCCTTGCCATTCCRTACAAATTTTCCCCATCAAACTATTTAATGTATATGAGAAGATATATATATAAGCTATATATTTGTACTGCGGTTGTAATGTATCAAATTGAGCTGATCCTCGCAGTATATCAAGCAACAAATGCAGCTGCAAATTGAAAGACTCAGAAAAACTTCTGACTATTTAATTTTATATATTTATTGCAATGTCTCCTATATTCTATATTCTGACCTATAAACTCCACCTTCTTGCTAATCAGATTGCCTCAGATAGACTGGACCGCCTGCACAAAGATTGCAAATTAAAATATTGAATAAATCGAGGTGTTCTTTTTATTTCTGGGGGTCATTTCAACATTTTACTCATGAGTCGGGCTACGACAGTCAAGCATCAGGACAAAAGCCCTTACCATGCCTCAGATTAAAAAAGCAAAAATACAGAGTCCCAATGTGTTGTACAGTTTTGCCCATGAGCAGGGCTACGTCATTCAAGCATCAGGACAAAAACCCTTATTCTCAGATTAAAAAAGCAATAATTCAGGGTCCCAATGTGTTGTACAGTTTTGCCCATGAGCAGGGCTACGTCAGCCAAGCTGGAAAACGAAACTTTGGTAATGAACATCTTTGTTCCATATGACATTGCCTTGATAAAAGAAAAGAAAAGGCTTTGCCACCAAGCTACTAGCCTGCGAATACAGCCGACTCACTTTGTCCTGATAAAGCCATTTTTTGGTATACGGAACTGAATCCAGATACCTTGGCTGCTTGTCAGAAATTTGACTCAGGTACCAAAACCTGTTAATCAAAATTAAAACTTCCATGACAATGAACTTGGACTGAACAATGTCTATGTAATCCCAACTCAGAGATGATATGTCATGCCAGTCCATTATAGACTAGTAATGATATGATTCGGTAAAGGCATCCTTCCTTGTCTCAGACAAACCAGACGATCTCATGAATACAGTCATGCTTTCTAATTCTTTCTCACTAAGTAAATCTCCGAAGCAAGTTGCACGGTCTAGTTAGAGTTCTGTAGAACACAGAGTAGTTGTAAGCAGCCCATCACTAGTGTCAACATGCGTCAGGCCATGAGACGTACATCGTGGTCCTGCAAACGAGTGATACCGTCGAAGAAGCTTCTGCGAATCTTGAACGCACGTTGAAATGTTATTCTGYAGTTTGTTGTCGTATTTATTCAAGTCTATCAAAGAGCTGCTCTTCTTTCTTTCTAGTTTCGGCCTTTCTTTGACATTTGCTGCATTAATCACTACCTTTGTCGTGGAAGAGCTTTCTTCAATGCGGGTACTACCATTCGTGCTAGGCAAATCCACTTTGCCATGCGACACAGTCGTTTTACTAATGTTGTTGTTGTCCAATTGCTTTCTAAATATTGATTTATTAATAGGCTGTGAATAGATGTATGGTGAAAATTCCTTTCCTGATTGAGTTGAAGCCTGCCTCCCTTGCATCATACCATGCAAGAATTGTGCACTATCTTGCTCTAGAGTCTAGTGTCACAATTAAAAAGAGGCACAGATGTATTCCAAGCAGACAGTTTCTTGACTGAATAGTCCTGTAGCATGTTTTGATCAGACTGTTGCAGCAAAGTTTGGACAGCCTTTTAAGTAAGACTTATGCTAATCCAATCCTCTGTCAAAACAAATTATAGTACTATAATTACACACCAACAGAATATTAATTTTTGAAGAACAAGACATGAATCAATAGAACAAAATCACCCAGGCGTGATGTATTGATTCCAAATAGAACTACAAACYCAAATGTAATCAAATATATCGCCTTGGGGCACTTGCTCATTGTTTATTTTAACTTCTCAAAGTGATCCTTGACTCATGATTTCTTATAAAAACTTYACGTCCATTTGTCAACCCTCCCAAACCATATGGATATTCAGTAAGCACGATGCAACCTAGCRTAGACATTACAATGAAAACAATATAGAGACATAGATTAAGAACCCAGTTGTCGACTTTAAAAGTATGCATGTGTATACAGGGATTAGCTTTGTTTGTCTTTTATTAACGCTGTTGACGTTGGTTGAATGGTAAGCAGTCCCTTGGTGACGTCATGTTGTGACGTAAAAGACCGGGTTGACTTAGCGTGTACCTCGGTTGAGAGGATTCCAAATTTTGTCACTGGTTTCTGAATTCCAATAGAGTACAGCACCTGAAAAAGTATCATCAAAACTTATGTTCTACTTGAAGCTGAGTATTAAGCTAGCAGTATATATGGCACTCTGATTTGTTTTAAAACTCAACACATCAGCCATACACCGCTAAATGTTACAGCTCAACAAYGTAATCTCCTGGACAACTCATATTGCTGGTTTTCAATCATTCCCAAGAGAATGAAATACTGAACAAAAGACACGGCGGCCATGTTGGATGATATAACCAAAGAGACCAATGAAGAATCTTTTGTTAAATTCATCCAACATGGCGGCTGTGAAAAGCATCAATAGACTCGCTGTATCAGCCCATGAAAGTTTGGGGTGGTTGTTTTAATTTGAATTATTTAAAATTTGGTAATTTCATYTTTCAAATACTTTACTGTGGTGGAATAGCCGCTCTATCCAGCCRATGGAATCATATCTATGCCACTAACTAGAGAGTGACTCAAATGACCAGACGCAGATTAAACAAGTCGGCTTGCAGGCTCACTTCTTTCCATTTCCGGCTGGTTTTGTTCTGCTCAGCGAGGAAGCACTAGCTTCAGGTTGGTCTGTTTCTAAAATAATGCTTTGTCGTTGGAATATCAAAAACTGAGTATAATGGACATATTTCAGTGGAGTGCAGGAAACAACTAGTCATACCAATTCAAGTTATTTTGCTTCAACTTTTTTTTTACTTATAAATATAGATGAGAAAGTTCGATCCTCAGTCTTCCCTTTAAAAAAATGTGAAAATTGCATCCCTCAATTCTTTATTCCATCACCTCATTGGCTATTGGACGTAATCATATGAAAGAGCGTATGATTTCATCGTTTTGATGTTCGTTTGTTTTATAAAATATAATTTTTTCAGCCCCTGCTGGGCAAAGATTAACCGGCGTTGAACTACGACGCCTCCCTGAACATTATTCGTGCTTAATTACAAGAGTTGGCCTACTCAGACGGGATTTAAAAATCAGTACTTAGGGAACCTTCGCTTTCCTCGACTTTCATCTAGACTCTAATTGACGCTATTTTAAGTTCTTAATTTGAGGTCATCTTTTWCGACTTGACGTTTAGATCAACGTCAACCCAGCCTGATCTAATTCTAGGCATCCGCGACAAAATAGACTAAGCTATATCGCATTATGT